CTATGAGAAAACTAAGCGCAATCAATACGGACGAATTGCACATGTCTTTTGAGCTCTGTGTGGCCGGCAGCAAGTGGCCGGAGCCCCACTAGCGATGCCAGTACATTGCAGCAGTGTTGGTACCAGTCGCCTCGACAACTGCCCTCCTCCCATAGAAAAGTATGCCGATTAAGAGCAGCATGCAGCGGTCTTTCTGCCTTTTCTTTTTTCTGCTTACCTTTGTTTACTCCATGTATCCTCATCCTCCATAACAACCAAGTCGCTCGCTCCATACCAGTATGGTGCACTGGAATGGGGCAGTGTGCCGTCTTCACAGTAAACCAATGAGACAGAGGTGGTTGCTTTTGCGATGACGCCACCAGTATGACGCCACCATTAAACGAAGTGCCAAGCGCGCGTAATTAAAATTTGCATTGCAGACTTTTGTGCAGTTTTTCAATAAAATAGTCACATAAAACAATTGGAATTAAAGGTATCAGTCAAATTGAAATGCATCAAACACATAAGGATGCATTAATGAGATAAATAATGCTGCTTCTGCGTAGTCAAGCTTGAACAATTCCTATCGCAGAACAGGGACCAAGACTGTCTGCTTCTCCCTATTTTTATTTCGAAATGCATAAAAAGGCACATGGCTATTAGTCAAAATGTACCCCTGCCTAGCTATCACAGCTTTTTGAAGTCATGCGACAAAACAAATGAGGAGGCCCTGAAGGATAAGGTTATCATTGGGTGAGTTCCACGAGCACCACCCACCTGCATGAGCCAGGAGAGTGAGCAGACACAACGTTAAAGAAAATAACGCTTATAGACGAATACTGCTCGACTGTTTTATGCACTTTACTAATCATTTTTATACGTTTTACGATGGGGTAACCACAACTACTAATCTCGGAGGCTTTGTATCCAGTGGTTGAAGCGGACTTCAGTCTTTTGGAGCAGCTTTGGGAGCACAAATAATGCGGTTTTGGAGCAGCTTTGGAGCAGCAAAAGGTGTGTTTTGATTTCTTGGCTTACTCTTCACAGTTAATTAGAATTATTGCTTACTGTTAAACACAAAATTTTCTGTGCTTTTTACGAAACATTGTAGGGTCTCGAATTGGCGAGCGAGCGCTATGCCACGCTCTTGGAGTGAAAGGACACAGACGACGCGGTAGGTACAAACCAAAGAACAACATACATTTACTTAACTACTTTTGAATGATGATATTGTCCACCGAATCGGTACATCAATCGTTATCAACACGCTAAGTGACCATTACACAAAATTACCATACACTCAAACAACATAACACAAGAGCACACGAAAGGCGGCATCGCCAACGCTTCACTCACCACGTGGACCTACCGCAGGCAGCCTGCGGTGCCGTCCACGGCAGACCCCCCGCGAGAGACAACCGTTCGCGGCAACCACCACGTGCAGAAGAGAGTCGCTCAATTCTCGCCCGCCACCAAGACTTGCATTCTACCAGAGGTCACCGCCGACGCTACCACTGTAACAACCATGATGATGATAGTGGTGCTCAACGCGAATACAGGGTTATCTATCGCCCAGCGGTTGTCACCCCCGAAATGCGGCTTTTGGGAGAGACATATGTGCCACACGGCGCAAACTTCACACGGGATGTCAGCACCCCCACCTCCAGCATTCAATGCTGATCTAGCAGCCAGACTTACCCGAAATTCATATACAGAAAAAGCTCGTTAACCCGGATCTCACGGGATCGGTGAAAATGTCCAAGCTAACCGAATTGTACTCGGCACAGACAAACCTTCATTTCATGAAAAACTGCATCAACTTTGTCAGCCTCGTCATCGGAATTAGGGCTAGAACGATCTTCTTCAACCCCATGTGGTGGTGGTGTGCACCTTTGCTGTCACGAGAACTGATGCAGAAATTCGCGAAGACAGCGAGAGCTTCGGCGGCCTCCTGCATGGTGCGATGTCACGTCAGCTTATCTTGACGGCACAGTGATTCATCATCGGCACAGTGATTTTGATCTTCAAGCCCTTCCCATATTATGGCACCATGAGTCAGCAAACCAGCATCGGGCATACCATCATAAATGCGTACAAACAGAGCCCAACAATGTAGTGACGGTTTCTATGTCAAAGCGCCAACTCGCCCAACAGTCAACTCTTTTGATGTGCCTGACCTGCACACACTATGCGTGAAGTCATAATACAATGAAATGAGCAGCGTAGGTGTCGCAGGCAACTGGGGTAGCGGCGGCTGCGCAAACTGTCCCGTCGTCTGCGCCATTTGCGGCTCATTTCGCAAGTATTTCGCAGACACTGGATGCACCGGCGGCCCAAGTGCTTCCACCGGTGGTGACTAGTGCCACCTGGCCACTTCCCCCCTCATTCACTACCATCATAATCATATCCTGCTGCTGTTCGTTTGGTTTCGGTTTCTCCAAAGCTTCGGCTCCGACGCTGTAGCGGATGGCGGAGCCAGGACTTCATGCTGTTAGTAACCGGAATCAATTACTCAAAGCATAGAACCCCGATAGCCCTCTTTGGAATCGTCTGAGTAAACCGGTGCGCATCTAAATCCCTCCGAATCCCCGAGCATTTGACCCCATCGAAATATACACAGTATTGCCGGGAACGCGCAGTGTGTTCGAGTTCACCGAATTTCCGAGTTAACAAGGTACGAATAAATGAGCTTTCACTCTATACGAAACCTTACAACATCAAAGGTGAAAGTGCAGCAACTCAAAGCAAAAACGTAAGCGACGTTCTGGACAGCGAATAGACCTCAGACGAATAAAAAAATTTAATGTTAAGATGTTGCAATGTTCAAAATGTGATTAAAACTGCATCCAGCATGAACAGCAACTCAGAACTTGAGATGAACTACTATATAATGAAAGATAGCTTCATACTAAACCCATAGGACTCTATAAATGTAAAATGAATGTTACAAACTTATGTTCCGGTCATTGACCTACCAAAGCCAACATGAGAACCCCGAGAAAATTTATATGCGCTCGCCACGCCATTGCTAGGCAATACAGTGAAAACTTTATTTTATTACCATAAGAATTAGATAGACAATCGAACGGTTTTCCCCGTCCCGGTTATGATCCGCGTAAACTACAAGTTTGTAGCATTCCCTGCGCATCGTACACTCAACCACGCATGAAATTGTGCAAGTTGGCGTGATGAGTGTGCTCAAGCAGATTATATGAGGTGGCCGATCTCGTTCGCATGGTGGGCGCACGCTTTAGCATATCACCGCGTGTAAGAACAGCCACTGAATACTCAAGCAGAGAAGAAACACGCCGCCCGTCTTGGACAAGCATGAAAAGACACCTGGGAAAGGGGGGTTACACGAGCAGTAGTTGTGCACTTTGAATCTAATCAAGGGCGTAGTTGCAATAGATGAGGCGCGTGATATTGGCAACCATCAGCGCAGGCTCTTAAACTGTTCTACGTGGTGCGCTCTCAATGGGAAGAGATTGTGCAATAAGAGCATTTCTCCCTGGAGCGGACATACTTATTTTCTTACACTAGCGTTTTGTAGTTGTGAGTCTTTCGATGTCATATTCAAAAGACTTAGATGTTAGTCTTCGAATTGTTGTGGGGTCGTAATGTCAACAAAAGCAGCAGCCACTATTTTCATTTGTGACCTTTTTATTTGGGCTAACCTGTGCCTGAAAAACGAAATGTCACTCTACAAGCAATACACGCTGTATACTAATAGCTACGAACATAGATAGTCGACCGTCGATAATCAGCCATGCGTCAAAGCGCGGTGGCGTTTATACATGTGCCATCGAAGATTCCAGCGTTATCGCTAGTGGCTGCATAAGTTCCAGAACAAGTTCTAATGTACGCGTCGTGTGCGTATTACCATCAGAAGGTTCAAGATCATCTAGATGGTCCCCAGTCATTGAAGAGCGATTTGCACAAAGCAGTTCCACATGTATAATGGTGCATTAACGAAATTAGAAAGATAGAAGCGTGTGCAGCATTACCACTACAAATTGTTGATATTATAGTTATCGTTTACCGGTGACACCGTTTTTCTTTTTTTTTTTTAGTTCAAGTGGCAAAAAACTCTCCGCACCATTGCCGAGCAACCGCCGAGCACAGCACATTCTCGGCAATTGCTCGGCAATAATGCAGCAAGTTATTTGCAACACCACTGGCGTCTTTATGGTTTAGCTGACAGCTTTACTGTTAAAACATATATAGAGTCGCATAATGATGTATGCACACAAACGCCAACTTAACAATAATTATGCATTGTCTTCATGAGGGCCAAGATTCATGTATGATCCGAAATACAACATTTGATAAGGACGCAGAATTTCATACAGACACGGTTGCATCCTTTGTGTAGCCCACACGTGTTGCTCAGTTAATGATAAAACTCGACGAAATTCGGCCTTGCACGTGCAAATTGGCATTTAGGCACGGGTTAGCGCAGCAGGTCAGATTGACGCAGCTCACCACAATTGGCACTGCAATTTCACACCTGTGATCTCAGCTTCTCATAAATTACTTCAGCGGGTATTGCCAGGTTGCGACACAGTATTGTGGTGTGCTTAAGCAGCGCTGGCCGTCATCGCAAAAAGAGCCTTGTTTTCGGCGCCAGACAACGCTTGCCTCATTCCAGTCACCCAGTGCGCCTCCTTTTAGACGAGCACTCACTACCACGTTTGTTGCAAACATTTTATGCCAACCGCATCATAATCGTCTTTCATCTTGGGGACTGCACACTAAGCAGCATTGGGGTTCTATGGAAGGGTAAATAGGAGCCGAAAAAGACCGCATTATAACCAGTCCTGCACTATAAGCAGTTTACGTTACAAGCAGTCTACACTCTATCTACATGTGAAATAGTCCGGCAATACTGAAAACAGAAAGGAGCATGTGTGACAACATGAAGGAATGACAAATGCAGCCGAAAATCACAGCAAATGATGACACTGATAAGTTTGCATGAGCAAGAGGAATCAGCTTGCACGAAGCCTTGAGAATGCACGCACCTCTGAGCCGCAGGAAGAAGATGTGAATGGGATTGCCAAACTTGAAGTTGCACCCACTGAACAGCCGCCTGCATTGAGACAAGACACAAAGAACACTCTCATGGTGCGTAAAAGCGAGCAACAAACAATAACCAATTTTCTTCTGCTTCCTCGCACATCGATCAGAATGATTTTAATGCATCTTGAAAGAACACTAAAGTGATACAAATTATCGGTTTGGATTTATAAATTATACCATGTGAACACTAATTATATATTCATTTTGCAATCACAGGGATACTATTACAGGACAAAATCAAGGACAAAGCTTAATTTTTAAACTAGATGGCTAAAGCCTGACATCCAGTATTTCAAAACGTGCCAATCATATTTTACCAACAAAGACTCAATGCAGTTTCCTGAAACATGGTATATTACATCTCCAAATGCCTCAGAGAAGAATGTATTTATCAAATAAGAACTACATAGTTCCCATAAAAATTTATGGCATCACAGTGACTGGTGCAGGAATTTCAAGACGGCGTCAGCACCTTCATTTTCACATTTTCTCGTAAGCCACGAGTCTTCTTGCAGCAAGTGTGAAGTACTCCTACTGAAAAAAATTAATTTTCTTTTACCTTCAAGCTAATTTCACTGTGCAGCATGGCCGACTGACGGTCATGATGCACTCCTTGGCAGGACCAAGGAAGAACAGGTAGCGTTACAGCTGATGATGCAGCTGACGCACATCCTTTAGATACATATTTTCAGCTCTTTCACACCTAACCACTCGTCAGAGTTTGAAAAAAAGTTTGCCATTATGAGGTGCACATAGTAGATGCAACTCTGTGCTAACTAAGCCTTCTTTCATTGGAAGAAATGTGCTGTATTAGGACAAAACAACATATTACTTTATTTTCTTTTTTTTTTTCAAACAAAGTACCTTCACACTATGTGGTGTGACTTTCACCTATTTGCAGACAATCATAAGTAAAGGTTAAAACTGAATCATTTATATTCCTTCATTTGCTCACAAACTCATCAAGACTGGCCTCAATATAAGCAACTAATCAATTTCGTGCTTGCACATTCCAACTTTCTCAACACCAGCAACTATGATGACTCATTTGAAAAGGCACACACTTTGAGTTGCAGAATATAAACAGAATATTGGTCAAATAAAATAGTACTTCATGAAGTAACATCCTGAATGCAACCATATGGTTATCAGCAGATTTGGAAGACAAACACTAGAGACTCGCACAGTCCCAACTGCACTTCTCTAAGATGAATTCAAGGATAAAAAAAAGGTTCTTTTTATCACAACTGATTATATTGCTGGGCGTAACATAACGTCATTTAGCTAATCTCATAAAGCCAACCTCCTCCAGCACTCTTCTGTCTGTGCTGGAACTGAACGATTTAACAAACTCTGTTTTCCTTTTGCAGCGGTGTATTATATGGCTGGGGCGTTCTGTATATACACCCAAAACCTCCTATAGTTTCCTCTAGAAAGCGGTGAAAAAAAAAAAAAAAACTCAGGGGGCACTTATGCATTCGCCTAAGACAGCTTGAAGGCAAGAGCCATTTTGTTTTTATTGCGATAGCAATTATATATACATTCTCGACTAGATTTTGCTGTAACCAGAGGCATAGGAAGAAATATTTTTCTTTTACTTTATATTGGGGGAGGGGGGCACCTTGATAACTGAAACGGGAGCAGGCAGGCAGATGGTCATTTTGTGCGTTATGTGCCATGGCGATAAAAATTTCAGGGGGGGGGGACATTTTAATGCCCCCCTATATCATTGGCCCATCAACGTCATGTTTCCAGTACTGTCCAAATTAAAAATATCCTCCCCCGCATCGTGTTTAGCACATGGGTCAAAGCGCCCGAGCGGGGCGCAATGAATGCGGCTAAATTGGAGATAAGAGCGCCGACGTATCTCCTTTACATAGAGGATGGATGCGATAACGTCTCCCTGCATGTCAGGCCTGCCATCAATTGTTATTCAAGCAGAACAAGCCCCCCATTTTTTCAAGGAGCAGGAAGGAACTAAGACCACAAGGGGGGGGGGAGACTTGTTATATGACTTTAACAAGGGTGTGATCGCTGATGCACTCGCTATTTTCGCAGGCATTAAATACTCCTGTCACATAACACCTGTAATGTCACTCGCTGCAAATGACATTGGGTGTTAATGTCATTTTTGTGACTGCTACACGGGCAAAGTAAATGACATTTACACCTAATGACATTAACCCGTTAAATGTGTTCGCCGAACTCATAGAAGTGTGACGTGTAATCTTGTCAACAGACGCTTGAGAAGAGATCACAAAATCGACACATTTAAAGTAAGTGTAAGTGATGTTCAAATATTTATTAAAGGTTGCTGTTAACTTTTCAGAAACTTTTTAACGAACAAAGCAATAGTGGAAGGGATATGTACAACTATATGCTATTTTCTAGACTTCGACTTGACGCTATGGTGTCTCCTGTCAGCCGTATTTAATAATGCGCACTGCTATTTTGGTGCAGCATTGCTGCATTAGACTCGCTCGTAGCAGAATACACATGCAAGTATGGAACACCCGTTTAGAAAGAGTGTTTTAAAACCAATTATACTTTTCTAGAAAGCACCACAGTTCTCTGTTAATCACCGCTCAAGTCGAAGCCCAAGATTAATGAATCGGCGTGTAGGCACAACTTCAAATCCATCGTCATCGGTGACGTTTCCCTAATGTCAAGCTTGAAGTGCCTCAGTCTGTTCTAATGCTTCATCCTCAACAGCCGGAGAGCAATTCGCATTCGTTTACACTTATCATCATTCATCGTGATCACGAATTCATGAATGCTGTCATGGTTCCAAATATTGCCGACTGCAAGTTGTGAGCAGATTTTAGTCTTGCTTTGAATGTGTATGAAGATTTTTACTTCTACTGATGCTGTCTTATCGCATCGCAGTACATTTTGAACCAATTGGGCAATGTTATGTCAATGAAAGCACCAACATTTTGGTATGACAGTAGCGTGCCGATAAACATTGACATCACGCGAATGCCAATTTACATGGCCGCGTAGACCTGGAACGCAAGACCACTATGACATTCATTGTGAATGTCATTCGCTGCGAATGACATTACACGTGCCGTGTGACAGGGGCAAAAGACAGCTGGTATACTCTTCTTGTTCTCTCAACATGAAGTGACTGGGCAAATGTGCTTCGCTTTCTGGAGCAAACATATAGGGGTGTGCACTGAGCCTTGATCGCAAGGCCATAGTCGCGTCATTTGGAAGTCCATTCGTACAAGCCATTCGCCGTTCATAAAAGCACACTTATCTAGAGCAGCGAAACACGTGCCTGTCGACAGTGTTGTTGACAGCGGCTTCTATCTCACGTTAGCAACAAGCTTCCGTTCATGCTTACATTATAGCATAAGAACTTAACAGGCAGTATAGCCATGTTTGGTATGATTACAGCGTCTCTCTTTACATATTTTTGAAAAAGAAAAAGAAAAGAACTGCAGCTAGAGCAGCCGGCTGGGCGCTTTAGTGAAGTCCGATTCTATCTGTACGTGCATTGGTATGCAAGAGGTGTTCCAGGGTTCTCTAGTCATCCAAATCACTGTATGGATATTGGCAAGTGTGCGGACCTTCCAAATGGCAACCCTGCGGCTAGAGCTCCTCACGGATTACGTCAAGCCATATCATTTGGCATAAAAATACAATTTATTGGTATCGCATTCATTGCTAAGAGCTTATGTGATGGTAACAAATTTCATCTTTTGAACCCGATATGGCTGGCTAAAGGGACAATGATCACTCCAGATGCTGAAGCAGTTTTCGTGTAAACAGTTATCTGAAACGCAAAGCAGTGATTAGTAGCACAGAAAGTTTACGAGCAGCCTCAATACGCTTGGAGATATTGCGCACATTAGCGACAGGACTCTTCAAGTGATGCAGCCTTCCCCAGCCCCACACTTAAAAGAAAGAATTCAGCTATAAATGCAACGCTGCGATGTTCTTTTTGTTTTCTTTTGTTTTTAACCGCACGCTACTGAACCTGGGAAGCGAGGGGCGCACGTGTAAAATGACGTAGCCGCTTCACAGTGGGCCTTCCGACACCAGAGCCCCCAGTAATGGCCCCACTACGAAAGCTGCGCGTATTAAAATCGAATTGCGGCTGCTCTAACCAAGACGCATGCTTTCACTAATGAGATCACATTTAAAAAAGGCACGCAAAAATTTGTATTTGGGCACTATCAATATCGAGTTCGAAAGGGTAGGGTCTTTTGGAGGCTTTTACCGCAATGATTACAAACGCCGGTGTGCTGTAGGAAAGCCTTACGAGACAGCTTTTCTGAATGAATATTCAGGAGTAAGTATATTAGAGGAAAAGTATCGGTAGAAAAAAATAAGTAGTTAAATAAAGAATAGAGACTCAAAAGAGGAAGGAAGACGAAGTTCAAATGGGCCTTCTGTGTTTGAGTTAGTCTCTCGCATTCTGTTTATTTTGGTGCCGAAATCCCCGCACGGACACGTCTTACTCTCTCTGCACGCATCAAGGGCTCTCTAGTCTGCCGCTACTGGTGAGGAACGATAAATGCAGAGGCAGAGATTGATTTCAGTACAAGCAAGCGGCCTGATCCCTCCCCTAACTTTGACGAATGAATCGAATGAAGGCCAAGCGAGCGTCCCAGTGAGCACAAAATACCAAAGTAATTAAAGGAGTCAGATCTCTTCTGCACGCGCCAGTCTCAAGCTCAAAGGTATGCGAGATCACCTTTCTTCGAGTTACAACAGAAACATCACTGTAATTGCTCTGAGCTATCGTGCAGTGGGCAGAGTATACAAAACAGTATTGACAGAGTATATCTGCAGACCTTTCGTGCTTTGATCATCCATATTAACAAGCACCGTTGTGTCAGAGGCATTCTACATGATGGAAGCCAGAGGTCCTTCATCAAAGAAGTAGTAACCATGAAGATTATTCTCAAGATGGTAAGAGAGATGAGGATATCGCTCAAGTTCGGTAGCTCGTCTCCTTCTCGAACTCTACGCCGCAAAATAGTTGAAGTGCCTTTACGC